CACCGGTGGGCTCAGCGGTGGGACTCGCTGGCTCCTGACCTTGGCACAGGGAGGAGGGGAGGTAGATTACGACCTCCAAGGACAGGCCTTCCCATCTCCCATCGTCCGGGACTATCACTGAGCGGGTGACTGTTTCCCGGCCTGCGCTGCCCTTGCCCAAAAGCCTGGCTGCCCGTGCAGGGCTGGCACCGCTCCGCAAAGGGGGACAAGGTGGGCAGGACAGCAGCTGGCGAGCAGGACTGGGGACCTTGTCTGGTGACCGTGGGCTGGGCTGGAGCAGGGTTTTTTTTCCCTCAGCCACCAAATCTGCTCAGTCTTTCAGCGCCTCCTGGGTTGCACTCCCTGGTACAGTCATGGTCACCTTGGGGTGGGATGTTCCCCCGGCGCCATGCGGTCTCGGGATCCATCTCACCATGGCACGTCTGACCTAGGCATAAAACCACGGACAACCAGGTTTCCTGAGGGGACACCATCACCTGGAAACTCTCAGGACCTGCAGAGAGCATCTGCTCCAGGAGGAGCCTCCGGGAAGCATCTCGGCATGGTGGGTACCCCTCTCACAAGCCACGAGTTCACTGGGGGGGTCTCCCCGCTCACACCTCTCCTGGCAGCCCCCGGGGCTGCCTGCACCCTGCCCTGCCCTCACCGCGTCTCCTGCTGGGCCCGGCGCTGCCGCCACGCTGGCGCTCCCTGCGGAGCCTCCTTTTCCAGCGGGGGATCAAAACAAACACTTATGCGGGGAAGTGCATTGCAGTGGTGCTCGAAATAAATAACTAATTTCTCCCTACATGATCTCAAGGAGCAGGAGAGGCGTGAATAGTAGGGCCCAGTGTCGGGCTGACTGGACTCCCCGGTGCGGTAATTCAGAGGATGACAAACATAAGCCAAAGAAAAATGTTGAAAAATGGGCACTTCCCGCAGCCCTGAGCAAAGGAGCTATTGCAGGGTTTGGAAATAACTAAGGCAAAAAGAGGGAGAGGGGGGAATTTTCTCATTGAGACCAAGTGAAGTGCCAAACAAGCTGCTATTATGGTGGCTTTGAGAGGCACAGGGAGGGGGTGATGGGGAGGAGAGCAGGGGGAAGGAGAGGAGGGAGGTGGGGGAGAAGAGAGGGAGAGAGGGCTGGAGGAAGGGAGAAGGGTGAGGGACACGGCGACAAGGGGGACGCGAGGAGCCAAAGGCGCAAGGTGACACGGGGGGAGACGGAGAGAGGACCAAGTTGTGTGATGGTGGCAGGGCCACCG